CCAGGCACCCGCCGGTGCCGAGCTCTGGGTCTGGTTCCAGCCCACTGTCACCGAGTAGGTATCCCAGCCACGGGTCTGTCCCTCTGGGCCCCCTCTGCAGTCACCGCTCTGGGGAGCTGTCCCTCTCTCATGTCAGGGAGCCAGGGGGTGTGCTGAGGGCTCCTGAGTTGCGAAACGTCTGCTGGAATAAAGAGCCTGGAGTGCCAGGAGTAGCTCCGACAAAGCAGAGTGTAGCCCCCAGCTCAGTGCATGGGGCAGGGTGTGGTGCTGAGGGCAAACCCTGCTTCACTAAAGGAACAAATAACTCCCTTATGGGCTCTGTGATGACAAACCTCTTGCTGTGCTAATATGACGGGGTTATATCTTGACCTCTCTTCAGTGACTCACTTCCTTTGACTCTCATCCAATGCCTGTCACCATCTCCCTTATCACTCAGCCCCTCTTCCAGCCCCAGCAGCTCTCTGCGGACTCAGAGCTCTCTCCTCCCTCCAGATGGCCTGTTCTGGCTCTGCTGGTTATGTCAGCCTTCAGAGCTGCACCATGGTGTTGCTTTAGGTCTCACAGCCCCTTCCACATACACCATATGTTGCCTCCCGCATGCTTCCAGCTCCCCTAGCCTCTCACCTCAGATACCAGCTGCACCCACTACCACGTCCCTGCCTGAAGCCCTGCCAGCCCAGGGGCTGCCCCTGTCCCCCAGATCTCCCACATTAGAATAAAATACCAAGAGAGCCAGAGAGTACATGACCTGCAGCCTCTACCTGCATGCTCCTTGCAACTTCTGAAAGCCAGAGTGGGCTCCCTGGTGTATTTATTGAATGTTGCTCATTTCATGCTTCTTGTTCCAAGGATTTGAGCTGCTGAGTAATCTTTGGTATCTGTTTTCACATAGCGTTGACAAAGCCTGGAAAGAGCTGAGTAACATCCTCTCAGGAATATTCTGTGCTTCTCTCAACTTCATCGATGCAACCAACACAGTCACTCCAACAGCATCCTTCAAACCCCTGGGTTTAGCCAATGGTGAGCCTGGCACTGCCCTCTCCCTCTTGTCTCTAGCTTTAGCTCTGCCCTGTGCCATTGTGAGGAGTCCAGGCACAGGTCCTGCAATAGGTCTGGGACTGTACAATTTCCAACCTCTTCCTGGAAGCATTTCCTCTCCCTACAAGTGAGGCTTGGATTTGAACAGAGGAAACCCACAAGCAGTACGTGGCAGATGCTCCCAGGCCCTTGTCTGTGTCTGGAAAATATTTTATGAAACAGGACTAGAGGATTTAAGGAGTCATGAAAAAAACCCTGCTAGAATATATCCTTATCTGTTCTTTCCAAATCACTCTGGATATAATGGGATCTATTCCCGATTGAGCTCACGGCATTTTGGGCACATTGAGAGGGTAGTGGGCTGTGGTGTTCACTGGGGGTGGAAGAGGTCCTGCTTCTGTTCCTGTGCCTGTAGCAGTACCAGCATGTTGACCCTCCATCTCCCTGCCCAGGGACAGACCACCATCTCCTGCGATACGCTGTCCTGCCCCGGGAGGTCGTCTGCACTGAGAACCTCACACCTTGGAAGAAGCTGCTCCCATGTGGCTCAAAGGTAACAGCAAGTCCTGCTGCCTTGCTGAGCCGCTCCCAATGGAGCTGGGCTCCCTCCAGCAATCCAGGAGTGTGCACTGGAAAGTTTCAGCAGGGCTTTTCTCTCAGTGGGAGCAGAGGACAGACCTAGGCTGAGTTTCTCCTCCTCTCCCTGCAGGCTGGGCTTGCTGTGCTGCTGAAGGCAGAGCGCTTGTTCCACAGCAGCTACCACTCACAGGCAGTGCACATCCGCCCCATCTGCAGGGTAAGCACAAGGCTCAGGGCTCCCTCCTTTAACAACCCCAAGAGAAAATGCAAAGCCTTCTTGTGGCACTGTAAGGTAACACACTGGTTTGCCCAGCTCCCCTGTGGTGTGTTCATCACTGTGTCTAACACAACTGTTGTCCTACTTCACTGGTCTCACCTGCAACCCGATGGGATTCTTGCAATCCTGGTGGAGTTCCAGCTCCATCCTGCTTTCCTGCCCCTTTGGAAGGTGTGATCAGAGCCCCCCCTCTCTCTCTTGTCCAGGATGCCTCCTGTCTGGCTGTGTCCTGGGAGCTCAGACAGACCCTCACTGTGGTTTTTGACACCTTTGCTAGCGGCCAAGGAAAGAAAGGTAAGCTTGGCAGCTCTGTGCTGTGCTCCTCCAGTGCCCCAGCCTGAAGCACATCACTCTGCCTGCCACTAACTTTGCTTCCTGCAGACTGGTCCCTCTTCAAGATGTTCTCTCGCACACTTACTGATGCGTGTCCTCTGGCATCGCAGAGCAAAGTCTACGTTGACATCTCCCCTAAGAACAAGGTAATGCTTACAGACTAGAGAACACCCCCTGCTTCCTCAAATCGGCCACTTTGTGTGGCTCAAACATCCTCCACCCAGCATGGTGAGGCCCCCTAGAAGCCCTCCAGAGGGGTTCCTTCAGGGCAGTGGGGATGAATGTGGGGTTATAGTAAGACCACTTGAGCTGGCTGTTGGGTGGGAAAGCTCAGGGCCGCATGGAGTGGCTTTGCCCCAGTGCTGCCAGTTCCTTCAATGGGCACTTTTCCTTTAATGGACCATTTGTTTTCATAGGAAAAGGACTTACTGGAAGTAACCCCCCTTCCAACATCTGTATACGAAGCTATTGTCCAGGGAGACAAGAGAACCTATGCCGTCTATGACCTACTGAGCCCCTCACTCTTTAACACCTCTCGCAGCCTCAATGTGCAGTTCAAGTGGAAGCGTCCCGAAGACAGCTGTGAGTGACGAGAACTCCCCTCCACCTGCATCGCTGGTCAGGGCTTCAAGCTTAAAACTCACCTGTCATGCCCCCCATTCCCATCTCCTTTTCTCCTTTGCAGCGGAAATGCCAATACCTGTACTCCATGCTCAGCGCTATGTGAGCGGGTACGGGCTGCAGACCGGAGAGATCAGCACCCTCATCTACAACACCCACCCGTACCGGGCCTTCCCCGTGATCCTGCTGGAGACTGTGCCCTGGTATTTGCGGCTTTATGTGCACACTCTGACCATCATCACTAAGGGGAAGGAAAACAAGCCAAGTAAGTAAACCCTCCCAGGAGCACATGCCACCCAATTGATTCCCTTGGCACAAGTCGCTCATTCCAGAGATGGTTTAGTCCCTCCCTTGGGCCTCAGTGATCACTGGGAAACTGGATTGGGAAACAAAACATCTTAGGATGTTTTCCTAACCTTCCCTTCAGCGCTCACAGCAGATGAGACTTTATTAAGTCTGTTTTATAAGAGGCTCATGGATTGTTTCATAATCCAACAACAGTCTAAACCAAAATGAATTAATTTTTGTAGTACAGGAAACAACTTCAAACTGATGACTTATTTTCCATATGTATCTTTCCTTATGAATACCTGACTTTTATGGGTTGTCAGATTCAGCTTTAACACGTGTTTTTTGAGCTGTTCATCTTCACTTGCCCAGAAAACCTTTCCCAGGACAGTGGAAGCAGGAGCTCCCACCCCATGGGAGATGTCCAGGGAATGCAAAATGGGACAAGGTCTACCTGGTGCCACTGACACGTCTCTTTGGGGTTAGGTTACATCCACTACCAGCCAGCTCAGGACCGGAGACAGCCTCACCTTTTGGAAATGCTCATCCAGCTGCCAGCCAACTCCGTCACCAAGATCTCAATCCAGTTTGAGAGAGCCTTATTGAAGTGGACAGAGTACCCACCAGATCCCAATCACGGCTTTTACGTCAGGTAACACATACCTCAGCTCCTCATCCCCTTCTGGTCCTGTGTAGGACTTGCTGCCCAGGTCTCTGGGGACAGGGAAAAACTTGCCATCTCTTTGCTGAGAGGACTGACACTAACATGTTCTTTGCCTCCGTAGTTCATCTGTGCTTAGTGCCCTAGTGCCAAGCATCATTGCTATGAAGGACATGGATGTGGAGGAGAGTCCTCTCTTCACCTCACTGTGAGTGTACTTGTGCTGGGGAACGGGGCTGTACCTCAGCACTGGTGAGCTGCTGACTGCTGTCATCCCATTTGGGGAGCACAAAGCAACAGTCCTGTGTGGGATGACACTCCCTTTCCTGCTTCCATCCTTCAGGTTTCCTTCCTCTGATGGCTCCAGCTATTTTGTGCGCCTGTACACAGAGCCGCTGCTGGTGAACTTGCCGACACCAGACTTCAGCATGCCCTACAATGTCATCTGCCTGACCTGCACCGTGGTGGCAGTGTGCTACGGCTCCTTCTACAACCTGCTGACCAGAACATTTCATGTGGAAGAGCCGAGCCGGGGCGGGCTGGCCAAGCGGCTGGCCAACATCATCCGCAAGTTCAGGGGGGTGCCCCCTCTTTGAGAGAAACCAGGGCAGCCAGGGCTGGCTGTGGGGCTCCATGGAGAAATCCAAGGAGCAGAGCGTTGCTGCCCCTTGTCTTTGATCGAAGCAGCCTGCTCCATTCTTCTGCCTGGATCTCTCCTCAGGATCCAATAAGCTGAGAGATTGGTTCCATCGCTAAGATGGGAAATGGCTCTAAGCCCATTGACTACTGAACTGCACTGCTTTGGGATTGGGAAAGATGTAGGACTTCTGTTTGGGAGAGGGGTAACTTACGTGCTGTGAATGATGCTGGAAGTAAACTTGACTGGTTTTGTACATTTGTGCTGCTCTTGGTTGGTTTTACTTTCTCAAGACTCTGAGCCACTAAGTCTCCAGCATGCTACCCGAGCCAGCTGGGAGGAGACGCAGACGTGGGAAGGGATGTGACTGCAGCAAAGAGACTCGTTCCTCTGTCCTACTACTTCACCTTGCACAAATGCCACATTTCACAGCATTCTCATGCCGTGCTTCACCACATTTGAGCCAGTTGGCAAATTAATTGTTGGCCTTGGTGTGTGCTTCTGTCCCCTTTCTCAGGAAAAAACTTCTCTAGCAGAACTTTGAAACCCCTCCACCTGCTCCCCCCTCTGCAGCACAGGATCCTCCTCTACCCCGTTGGTATCATTTCTGCACGTCTCCCTAATTGCTCCCCTGCACCCTCAGTGTCCCCAAAGCTTTCAGGGAGCCTCTGGGCTCAGCAAAGCCCAATTGCTGAGCTGCAGCCAGACAGCTTTTTTGGTAGGGACACGCAGCTGCCTACAAGCAGCTAAACAACGCACAAGGAACCGATTAGAATGACTATTACTCAGAATTAAAGCAAAGCACAGCCAGAGGTCCTTTAAAAGCTCCCATTTGAACAGAAAGACCATAAAACACCCATTGCCTCCTGTCCTGCACAGAACAGTCTGTTCCCACTGGCCTGGGATTACCTTTCCCTTCCCTAGTGGAGATACCCTTCTCTCTGCAGCTCTTTATGGATCCACTCCACTGGATGGCTCCCTGCAGCCTGCAGACCTGCCAAAATATGAAATATGTGAGTTTGGGAGGATCCCTCTGTCCCTGCTTGCTAAGAAGGATGCCACGGGCCTGGGAGCTCACGCTGGTTCCAGCCACAGGACTGCTGCTATGGCTCTGCCAACCAGGCTTCAAGTGCAAAATGGAACCTCTCTATATAGAAACTAGAACTAAACCCAAATAAACCCCAAGCCAGTGTGCAGCTCCTGCAGAAGCAGAGGGAAAAGCAGCCAGGAATCTCAGCCCACATTGCAGTTTGCAAAAGGAATTGAAGACCTCAAGTTGTTTCAGGTTGGGTCCAGTATAAATCACGCAGACTGCAACCATCAGCATGGACCAGCTAAGGTCCCACCAGCCTGGCTCCCCAAGCACTAGGTGGGACCTGGCAAAGCCCCCCCAAGCACTGAGGCCCATGGGCACAGCTGGCACCACAAGCCAAAACAGACAAAAATAGTGCAAGAAACACAGCACTGCTGCAGGAAACAGCATCCCTGAGCTGAGGAGGATGAGACAGCCTGCGCCAGGGCCAGCCGGGAGCTGCCATAGAGCCAGCATCTGCCACAGAGCCAGCATCAGCCAAAGGGTTTGGGACTGTTCATGTGCAGTGGCATAAATCAGGAATTTAAACAGCCTGTAATGAGCTCAGCTCAAAATAACAGCAGGGCAGGAGGGAAACCATCCATCCAGGTGGGATTCCTGCCTGCTGGGCCATTGAGGGAGCTGGTCTTATCACACCCATCAAACGCAGGGACCAGACAAGCAGAAAGACCTATGGAACATGCAGGTGGCTCTGTAACCACGGCTGGGTGGGTTTTAAACAGCTGGGGAAAACCCAAATCTTAGTGTTCAGGGTTTTTTTTTTCATGGACTATTTCACTCCTTCCCCTGCATGACCCCCTTGGGTCAATCTGTGCCTGGTAACCTGCTCCTGTGTGTTTGCAGAGGGAAGGGCTGGAGCACTCGCAGCAGCACAGGCTTTGCTGCCAGCACAGCGATACTCGGCCAGTGTCACAAATAGAAGTGCTTAAGAGAGCTGTGTCTGCTCTACATCTCTTTGAGACATAGCCTTAGGAAGGGTACAGGTGCCCACCCTACTGCAGCACTGAAAACTGGGGCCCCTCAGGGCTGGATGGGGCTAAATCAGCAACTGCCACGTGAGACAAGGAAGCAGCATGTAAGCAAACCCAAGAATAGTATGTGATGCAATGCAAGAAAGCATGGACTTGGCATGGCACGCAGTACAAACACTGTGAGCATGTGGACAGTGAGCAGTGGTGTGCAGGACACATGCCAGCTGCACACAAGGAAAAGCCTGCAACCAGCATGCAGCCACAAACAAGAGAGCACACACAAAGCAGGCCCTGCAGCAGAGAACCATGAGCTGCATGCAGACATGCAGTACCCTTCTACATGCAAGAAAGCAGGTGAAGAGTGAATAAAAGTCAATGTGCAGTGTGCCATGCAGCAGAGGTGTTAGAGCCATACTGTGCCATGCAGCTGCAGCAAAGACTGTGCGAGAGAGCGTGCAACTGGTACTTTAAATTTAAGGGGGGGGGGGGGCAGAAATCCAATTATTTTCTGAGGCGCTGGCACAGGGTGCCCAGAGAAGCTGTGGCTGCCCCATCCCTGGCAGTGTTCAAGGCCAGGTTGGACACAGGGGCTTGGAGCAACCTGCTCTAGTGGAAGGTGTCCCTGCCCGTGGCAGGGGTTGGAACTGGATGAGCTTTAAGGTCTCTTCTAACCCAAACCATTCCATGGTTCTGTAATTGTTTAGAAAGGAAGGAAACTGGTGAGGCCACACCTCAAACCGTGTGTTCAGCTCTGGGCCCCTCTAGTGAGCAAGAGCGCTATTGAGATCCTGCAGCAGGTCCAGAAAAGGGCAACGAAGTGGAGCCCAAGTGTGATGGGGAAGGGCTGAG